CTTTATTCCCAGTGGAGAATACTCCTTCTCCTGCAAGTCTCTTGTTCAGATATGAGGGAGAAATAGAGGCCTTAGCAAAGAGAAGATGAAGGATCTTTTTAGTGTCTGATACCTCTCCCCCAAAAACTATCAATTTAGCAAAGTTTGTAACTATTTCTCAGGTTTTTTCTAGCTGATTTATGAACTATTCTTACTCTAAGCTCACCCCATCCTGTAGCAGTTAATAAGCCAGGTGGCTAACAGCAAGGACTTTGGTACCAAATTTCTTGATTTCAGAACCTGATTTTAAAACTTAGTAGTTATATGACCTTGGGCAAGTTATTTCAAGGCTCTGTGTCTCATTTAATCATCTATAAACTGCTTTTAATAATGATAGTTACTCATAGGATTTTGTGAGTTATTAAGTCAATATACATAAAACACTCAGAATAGTATCTGCTGCTTAATCATTAAGTGGGTGTTAGCTTCATTTGAAAATTTTGGCTTTTCATCCAAATCCAATTCTGCCTGTTGTATGCTGAATTTGATGGTGTATATTTGGTCTCTCTAGAGCTTCAACCTAGATTTACTGTGAAAACTTCTGATCCATACTCTCTTCCATCTCAGGCAGAACCTGTGCATTTTTCTTTGTGCCACCTCCAAATTCTCACTGTCTCCATACATTTAATTCCTTTGTCTTGTTCAGATTTTTTTTTTTGGGGGGTGACCATTCCTGGCCTTCCAAGGGTAGATTAAGCATCTACACAGCTTTAAGTATTCCCATATGCTCTTAATTTTCCTTTTAGAACTTACTAGAATTTGTAATGATGTAGTTATGAGACTATTTAATAAATATATATCCCCTACTAAAATGTAAGCTCCTTGAATGCAGGGTCAAACTCCACTTTGTCATTATATCCCCCAAATTATAGTGTTTCGTCTATAATTTTTTTTTTAAGATTTATTTTTATCTATACAAGAGCTGGTGTACAGGCCAGAGTTACAGGAGGGTGAGAGGATTCACCAGAGACAGAGCAGGGAAAAAAACAGGCAGACAACTGAAGGCACTGCTGAGGGGAGTAGCGGGCGAGACAGAAGAGGTCTGCCTTGCCATGTGGGATTCTCTCTGGCCGGCCGGGAATCCAACCGGCACTGCGGTGGCTGTGGACAGCTTCACAGCATGGCGCTCAACCTGCTGCACTACAGGGGAGGCCCAGGTCTATAAATATTATGTGGGAAATATTTATTAAATAAATGAATAAATAAATTTCACATATAAGTCTAGTTTCAGCATAAGTGGACATGACTTGCCCAAGATTATACCACTACATAACATAACTATAAGTAGAATTCAGTTCTGTTTTCTATAATTTCAGGCCTTAATCAATTACATAAATCACACAAAGAACCTTAAACTTACTTTGGTGCAGGTTCTACGATGAAAAGTAAAAGCACAAGTCAGAATGGGAGTATTTAAGGTAGTTGGGGATAATTCGTCCTCCTTGAAGTAGGAGTTAGGATGAGCAAGAGAGCATTAGGCTGAAGGTCCAGAATCATTTACATAGTGGTAAAATGATGAGAAAATCTTGGTAAATAACAACACAGAAAAGACCACTATGACTGTAACAGAAAGAGTAGCATGAGAGAAGAGGTTGAGGTTGATCAGAGACAGGGCCACATCATGTGAGACCTCATAAACTACCTAACTAACAAGAAGAGAAAGCTGAAGGATTTTAAGTAGGGGATAACACAATCAGCTCTGCATTTGCATATGATACTTGCTGTACTGAGCAGGGTTTGGGAGAGAGTGAACTTAGTAATTGGTTGAATAAGGCAGTCAATATATAAAGACATGTAAGGGATAACACTCAGATATCTAGTGTGATCAACAGTGAGGATCACAGTACAATTTATTGAGAAAGAGCCACTAGCAGATACATCAATAATTTAAGTGTCAAATAAGCTCCCCAAAAATAATCACAATGATTATTATTTTTGTGGTTGCTGCTATTACTGATGATAGCAATTGAGGATAATGGTGATCTTAATTGATTTCTGCAGATTTGGCATGATGTGTTGCTCCCACTGCACACACAGATACTTCTGAACTTGGTGTTTGGAAAGGGATGTCACCTAAGGGGCTAAGAATGCATCTAAGGCCAACATGTAAAAACCTTTATTGTCTTCAATCTTAGTTACAGGGTAGGATTAGGATGACATTTGAGGGACACATGAGAAAAGAGCCTTCTTTTTTCTTGAATTGACTTATCTTTATCCGGAGAATAAAGAAATTTTAGATATGAAACTATGATTTAGTCAACAGGTCTATCATGCCCAACAGGTCTATGAGACATCAATATTTTATGGGGAGGAGAAGCCTATACCATTAGCTTTAATTGGCCTGGAATGAATAATGGATGAGCTCAGTTGAAAGGATTTTCCTACAAACTGGGTAATGGAATAATAAGCAGAAAAATCAAGACATATGCATAGATCTTTGATCTTACTGAAAGTATTTTATGATCTACATTTATTCATATTCTTTGCTTCATGTGGCAATCAATTATATTCCTTTATATATAATTAAAAAAGAATGCCTATTAGGATGATTAGTTGGTAATGTTTACTATGTAAGGCCATTTTAATTCTGGTTAGTCAGTACTGTCTATACATGAATGAAAGGAGGTTGCTATGTCTTCACACTGTGTGACCAGTTCATGTCCACTGCCTTTGTTCCCTAGAGATGCAGGGAAGCAAAGACCATGCATTAGCCACATGGTGTTAATGAGAATCCTTGTTATCATTATCCTTCTCATCCTGTTAAAGTTGTCCCAAAGCAGATGAGGTGGATGGGAAATGTGTTAACTCTACCAAAAGGCATGTCTATTTCAGAAGATTTTAGCCCTGAGTTGAGAAATTTTATAGTACGTAATCTACACACCAACTGGCCATTTTGTAACTAAGCATCTATAAAAAAATAATAGGCAATGGAGGAAAATCAAATCTAAGAAAAGTCCAAATTGTTTTGGTCACATGAGGTCAAATGACAGTGATTCTTCACTTGTAATCAGGGAAATGCAAATCAAAACTACAATGAGATACTATCTTACACCAGTGAGAATGGCACATATTAAAAAATCTAGCAACAACAAATGTTGGTGAGGTTGTGGAGAAAAAGGAACTCTCTTGCACTGTTGGTGGGAGTGCAAACTGGTCCAACCACTATGGAGAGCTGTGTGGAGATTTCTGGACCTCCTAAACATAGAGCTTCCATATGATCCAGGTATTCCACTCCTAGGTATTTACCCAAAGGACACAGAAACATCAATTCCAAAGAGCACCTGCACCCCTATGTTTATAGCAGCACTATTTACAATAGCTAAGCTTTGGAAACAACCCAAATGCCCAAAAACAGATGACTGGATCAAGAAGATGTGGTACATATACACCATGGAATATTACTCAGCATTCAAAAAAAAGATAAACACATGCCATTTGCAGCAACATGGAAGGAGCTGGAAGGAATCACGCTCAGCGAAATAAACCAGAAAGAAAAAGAAAAATACCGGATGGTCTCACTCATAGCAGGAATCTAGAAAACTTAAATAAGGGACCAGGAAAAAGAATAACTATAAGAAAGAAAATATCAAAATCAACAAACAACTATGAACCAGAGACACTGATGGGGGGGTGGGGGGCGGGGAGGGGAGGGATTGGGTTCAAAATAAGGGGGTTGCAATTGTATGGGGAATATAAAAATAAAATTAAAAAAATGACAGTGATTCTTGCTTTAACTCACATATATAAATTGGCATGTATATAAATACAATCACCATTAAGGAACATTATACAAAAACATATAGATCAGTATAAAGCCAAAGATTTTAAGGAAGAAAGAAAGATGAATAATTTAGTTGACATTTTGAACAAATATGACATCTACTTTATTTATATTAGAAAACTTACAGATGCCCTTCAGGTGTATAAATGTATTTTATTTACACCTTTATCAAATCTACTAAACTAGGAAAAACATCTAATTATTTATTTTCACATTTTCTATTTAAATAACTACATATACATAACTTAAAAATGAGTATGTCTTTACTACTTGTGACAATTTGTAATATTTTCTAACCTGGTATAATCCAGCAAGATCTCAAGTGCCTTCCAATTCAATATAACAAAATGAGTCAATACTGAATCATTGGAACATCTGCATCTCCATCTCATTAAATTAAACAACCCTCATTCATATTAAATTCAGCTATTTTTTTAACATTTGTTGAAAATAAGACATCTAGACACTATTCAGAATTCCTAAAGAATATATTTTCTCCCTATATCATGATTAGCAGTATGGATTTAAAATCTGATGCATATTCAAAACAGATCTCCACTACGTAGTAGCTATGTAAGCATTTAAACTGTGTTTTGTCTTTCTAAATGAATCTCATACACTAATATGTAAGACAAGATTGCTTTAACATTTTAAAGACTTAAGGCTGTGTTAAGCATATAGCAAGTGCCTCCAAAGTGTTAGCTACTAGCTACTACCACCACCATCATTATCATCATTATCCTTCTGAGAAGGAATCATTCATTTTTGTTTTGGGGCACTTGAAAAAAAGAGTACAAAATACAAATTAACTTGTCTCTCTGTATTCCTATCTCCCAGCCTTATTAGAAAAGCATCAATCTTTATTGTTTTCATTCAGTAAAGTTTTTTTTCCATTGCAGTGATTTGTAAAACTTTCCTTTTACACAGGCACCTTTATAAAATATGGAAATATCCCTTGAACTTTCACGTGATAGAATCTATAATTTTAGAATATTTTGAGTAAGAAAGCACATATGAACAGTGGAATTTAAGGCCCCCCAATAATAATCCACAGTCCTTCCAGGGTCTCAGACTGATTGGTTAGGAACAATTGCTTTATTTAATTAAATTGTTGATTTAAATAAAATTCAGGTTGTTTTTAAAAAATTCTGCGGGTCATAGCTCTTATAGCTTCTCTTACCTCGCCCATGACTGCTATGGGTGTCTCTCCCGTTGCCTGAGCAACTCGATGTTCTACTAAGTAGAACATATACTCATCGTAGAGGAGACGGATCAGATGGAAGGAGCCAAAGCTAGCAGCACTGCGTAAGGTTAAGTCCCGAATAACCATTGAACTGTTACAAAAGAAAAAGATATATATCAGCCAAAATTAGTGATCAGCATTAGAGTTAAATCTACTTTTCCTCTTAAAAGAATCAACTTACAGGGACTCCCTGGTGGTGCAAGGGGTTGGGACTTAGCCTATGAAGCTGTCTGCTGCCACCACAGCAAGAGTTCAATACCCGGCCGGCCAGGGAGCAACCCATATGGTGCAGCAGACCTCTCCTGACTCGCCTGCTGCTCCCCTCAGCAGTGTACTTCGGTCAATCTGCCTGTTCTGTTCCCCACTCTGTCTTTGGTGAGTCCTCTCACCCCCCACACGTCTGGCCTGTACCCTACTCTTGTATGCATAAATAAATAAATATTTCAAAAAAATCAACTTACAGGTCTAAAAGTTTGGTACAGTACAAAATCTAATGTGGAATGATTTCATTTTTTAATTTATATATATTTTACAACATTGTTCATTTTTTAACAATGTTTGCTTTCTTTTCTGATTTCATTATTGAAAGAGGTTCAATTCATTTAAGGCAGGGTTCAATTTATTTAAAGCATTTAAAGCAATGAATCCCAAATGGAATTTATCACCCTTAGTGATAAATAGTTAATCCTCTCAGTTTGACTAGAGCTCCACAGATTATCAATGGAAAAAGCATTTCACTATTTCACTATCATAGGCAAATCTGCTGACTATTTTAAACTTGAGCCGGATCAGAAAAGAATTTTTTTTTAAATAATCTGCTGTCCTTCAGCTTTATTCATAGAAAAGATTTTGAATATGAGCCTACTGATTTACAATTGCTGTTCCCACTACTACATTGCTTTGCACATTCCTGTCCTGTGTAATTTTTATCAATAATAAAAATAATGGTTAGTGTTGATCATGTTATTACTGTGAAATGTGTATATATCATCCTCATATAATCTTCACAGAGACTGTGAAAAACAGGTAAAATTATCAACAGTATATTATGAATTGATATTAAAGTTATTGTCCAAGGTCTCCAATCTAGTGACAGTTAGCTAATTAACATGTGTAGGTCTTTAGGGTTCCCAATTAACCTTTCTCAATTGTATAATCATTGTTGTACTTTCCTCCATATGTGTTTTCATATCCTAACCAACTGCAGTCTGGAATATATAATATACCCAGTATCAGAGCATGTTCTTATTTTTTCCCCCAGAATTCTGCCAGAAAAGAATTTTTAATAGTTGAAAACTCATCACCATGGCAAAAAAGAAGTAAATCAAAATGAGAAATTTTGGTGAGTAAACACTGTGTTACCACGTCTGATTTGGAGTACAACTGGGAAAAATGTGTTTTTGTGACAAACAAGGGTTACAAAATATACTGAGCAGTGTTCCCAGATTTGGCAATGTAGAAAGCAGGTGGGGTGTGTGCAGGGATTCCTGCAAGTTCGGTTAGAATTCAAGTTTATTAAGTGATTATAATTTCTTACTGATTTACATTTAAATTAAAATAATTTCCATTAGAAGTATAATAACATCAATTAAGAAATGCCTATCTTTGAGAAACATAAACACTTAATTTATCAAATATGCCAAAATATGAAGAAAATGACTAATGAAATACTGGTATTAATCCTATTATCTTTAAAACAGAAATGAATCCCAAATGGAATTTTGGCCTGATTAATGATGTGCCAATCATTAAAATTGTCCATACACTTCAAATTTCAGGGTCAGAGTGGTGTGTGTGTCTGTGCTTCTCATGACTTTCATTTAGTGACCTATTCTAGACACTTTTGAGCTAGGAAAATTGAACAGTCACTAGATTCTCAGAAAAGAAAAAGAAAATTTCACAGATGTATAGAATGATATTCCTAAGCCTTGCTTGCAATAAAGAATTCTAAAACAAAGGCAGATGGAAAAACAGAAGATTGTACTATTTGTCAACTTCATTTACTTAGAGGATACTAACATATCCAAATCGATACATTCAACTTGGTAAGTGACAGATCATCACCTATTTGTAAAAAATAATTAATATAAATGTAATAGTTATTTGAAATTAAGAATTTTCCCTATAGAAGAGAAATTAAAAGGTTGGTAATCCTTTATTTTAAAAAGCAAAAGCAAAAATCAAAAAAATAACAAAATGTTGCGTAATGCTTTTTACCCTTACTAGCCCAAACTCGATCATATGAAGTAAATATTTTTAAAAACTAAGGAAAGTAGGAGCATAATAATCACCCCTAATTGCATCTTTACTGCTGAAGAAAGATAGCAAACATCAAAATAAAGTCTAGGCTAACGAACATACAAAATATGACTAATATTCAAATTAAAGGAAAATCAAATTTAAGTAAAATATCATATATAATCTAAGAGATTAAATGATCCATGGTTGTAGCAGTTATGGGAAAATTACTGTTTTTGAAAGTAAAAATACACAAAATCTTGTGGAGGGAAAGTTGGCAGTATTTGTCAAAATTAAAATTGTACAAATCCATTGACCTAGAACTCTAATTGTAGAAATTTACACAAATGAGCAAAAATACTCTTAGGATCTAGAATAATATGGCATCAGAGGAGGTTCCCTGCTTTGCTACTGGGCGGTAAATCTGAAAATACTATAGAGTGGTCCTAGATCCAGAGGATTCTGTAACTTGGGGCAAAACTTAGACTACCTCTTAAGACATTGTGGGCAATATAGGCCACACAGGAAGAGACACTGAGGAAATTCAACTTCATTCAACAAAATGGGTGGAGAAAGGCACAGAGAGACTGTGGCCAGGGCTAGAGTATACCATGCAAATCTTGGAGCTGAGCTCCAGTAAGTAGCTGGCCTTGGAAAAGGGAGAACTGAGTAAGGTGGTGGAGGCACCACCTTAACTGAGAGTAGATAGGCATGGAGGAAATGAGGTGTTCCAGGCAAACTAGGTCTCAGTGATGAGAATAGGGTGCAGAATGGCCCTCCTCTTCCCCTACTTCCTCAGGACTTGTTTGAGCTAATCTTGCCAAGCACAAGAGAGCAGCCCCACTGACTGCAGAAACAGGAGTCTTGCTTTCAGAGTACACAAATAGGAGCATTCTCCCATATCACTCTTACCAGTGACTAGACCCCTCTGGGAATCCCCCCACCCCCGACTCAGCAGCTGTAGGTCAGTTCTCCCTGACATATAGCACCATGTATTAGAAAAGTGGAAACTCTGTACCCATTAGGACACTTGAAAAAGCAGCAACCTTGAAAGCTACAAAATGAGAGAGGAAAATATAATACATGGCATCTTGATCTCCTCAAGGAACATTTCACCACAAATCAGGTAAGACAAGAAGGATCTTTTTAGCACCAGACAGAGTTCAAAATTCCCATGATAAAGAAATTCAAAGAAATGGAAGAAAACACAAAAGAAAATTATCAAATAGAAGCAAAAACCTCAGAAAAACAAATGAATGTCTTAAGAAATAAAACTAATGAGCATAAGACTGACGTTAAAGCTTCAAATAAGAAAATAAGAGAGATGCAGGCTACAAAAATGTAAACAGAGGAGATAAAACTTTCTGGAGCAAGTGATAAAAGTAGAATAGACCAAATGGAAGATCAAATCAATGACCTCAAAGATGGCAATATACAAAGAATCCAGCTGGACAAAGAAAGAGAAATGGAAGGAACAAAATGAAGAAACACTGAAAATTAACTGATTCCATGAATAAACACAATATAGGGCCTCCCTGGTGGGGTAAGGGTTTAAGCACCGCACTATGAAGCAATCCACAGCCTCTGCAGCATGAGTTCAATCCCTGGCCAGCCAGAGAGAAAACCACAGGGCGAAGCAGACCTCTTCTGTCTCACCTGCTGCTCCCCTCAGCAGAGTATTTCAGTCAGTCTGCTCCACACTCTGCTCCCCACTCTGTCTCTGATGAATCCTCTCACCCCCACCCCCACATCTCTGACCTGTACCCCAGCTCTTGTATGCATAAATAAATAAATCTTTATCAAAAACCCCACAATATAACAATAATAGGTTTCAAGAAAGGGAAGAAAGAAAGAACAGAGAACTTATTTGAAGAAATAATAGAGGAAAATTTCCAAACCTGGAGTAGAAACTTGATCACTGGAATCCAGTAAGACTGCCAAAAAACACTTGTGAACAACTATCAAGAATTTAGGAAAATGAAAGAATACTGAATTTGGCTAACGGAAAGATGCAGATAACCAATGAAAGTACCCCCAGGGGCCTCCCGTGGTGGCGCAGTTGGCTGAGTGTAACGCTGTGAAGCTGTCCGCAGCCTCTGCAGCGCAGGTTCAATCCTGGCCGGCCAGGGAGATACCCACATGGTGCAGCAGACCTCTCCTGTCTTGCCTGCTGCTCCCCTCAGCAGTGTATTTCAGTCAGTCTGCCTGTTGGGTTACCCGCTCTGTCTCTGTCTCACCCTCCCACACATCTGGCCTGTACCCCGTTTCTTGTATGCATAAATAAATAAATCTTAAAAAAAAAGAAAGTATCCCCAGAGGTTCATATCTGACTTTTCTGAGGCAATACTATGGGCAAGAAGACTGAATGAAGTATACAAAATACATAAAGATAAAAACTCTCAGCCAGGAATATTATATACAGAAAGACTTTCATTCAGACACAGGGCAAAATAAAGAACCTCCCAGATAAACAGAAGCTGAAGGAATTTTCCAACACCAAACCTCCCCTGTAAGAAATGATAAAAGGAGGCTTCACTTCTACATCAAAGAGAAGACCATTCACAAAAAAAAAAAGAACTAAAAAACAGATAGGACCAGAAATCTAAGGACAAAATAGCTGTAACAGACCATTGCATATAAATAATCATGCTATGAAAAAGGTCTGAGCTTACCAATCAAGAGGCACATAGGGTTGATTACATTAGAAAAGAAAGCTGAATGTTGTGCTGTCTCCAGGAGCTCCAAAAATAAGCATAGTATCAAAATAAAGATTTGCAAAATAATCCTGCAATAAAAAATGGACCCCAAAAAGGCAAGGACAATTATACATATATCAGATAAAATAGACTTCCA